TCGCCGATCGCGGGGCACACGCGCATCGCGCGCAGATCACCACCACGACGACCGACTACGGTATGACGGACGCGCACATCATGACCGAAGGCGCGAGGAGGACGATGACAGGCGATCACACGCATCGTATGCGTCGCATGCAACACATGACGAGCGGAGGCCACACCGTGATGAGGCGCGACGCACGATGACACGGGGAACGCCATGATCGCGATGAACAAGCAGACGAAAGGGCAAGTACGACCAAAAATAGTTATGCCCATGTTCACGGGAACAGATCCGGACGCATGGTTGAGTTGAGCGGTGCAATTTTTTGAGATCAATGATGTGCCAAGGTATGAAAGAGTTCAAATTGCTGCTTATCATCTGGATGGAGAAGCAAACGTATGGTGGCAATGGGTGATGCACAAAAACCATGGCGAGCACATGCGTTGGAGGGATTTCGAAAAAGAGCTCATCACAAGGTTCGGCTCAAGTGACTACCACGATTACAATGAAGCCTTGTCGAGAATTAAGCAAGTTGGAAGTCTGAGGGAGTATCAAAAGGAGTTCGAGCGCATTGCTAGTAGAGTGAGGGATTGGACTGAGAGTGCGCTAGTAGGGACTTTCGTTGGAGGACTTAAAGCTGAACTGGCAGCCGGAGTGAGGTTGGACAGGCCAGCATCGATGCGAGCAGCTATAGAGTCGGCCAGACTGCACAAAGATCATCTCGTGGCAGTACGCAAGGCGAAGCGGAGCGACGTGCGCACGGAGACCAAGCGCAAGAACGCTGCGACTGAGGAGCTAACGGCGCGAACTGAAAGCAAGCCGTTGGGCGAGGCTGTTCGAACGACAAGCAACATACGGCGGCATACTGATAAAGATATGCAGCGACGACGAGAAAAAGGCCTTTGCTATTCGTGCAATGAAAAGTTCACGCCAGGCCACAAGTGCAAGGGTAAGGAAGTATTTTTGTTGGAAATTGGGGATAATTGCGAAGAAAAAGAACCACGAGAGGAGTCCTTGTTGCATATGGTTAAAAGCAAGAAACGTGGTCCGAAGATGATCACATTCACGGCTAAAGTGAGAGGAAAATTGGTGGAAGTATTGGTTGATAGTGGGTCTACGCTAAACTTCATTGATGAGGAGTTGTCCAAGGAAATTGAGATTCCCTTCACCAAGGTAAAACCTTTTGGAGTCAAGGTAGCAAACGGGGAAACACTTCGGGGGGATATTCTCTTCAAGGGTGTAAATTTGAAGGCTCAAGGCCAAAAGATGAGAGTGGATCTCTATGCCTTGCCATTGAAGGCGACTGATATAGTGCTTGGATGCCAGTGGTTGGAGACTCTTGGTCCAATCACAACTGATTATTGGAAAGGAACTATGGAGTTTGGGAGATCAAGTAAGAGGGTCAAGTTGAGGACAGAGGATCCAGGCAAGTCACCTGATAAGGATGACGAGGATGGTCGAGTTAGGAAGCTGAACTTTCTAATCCTTGGGGACAAGGAAGGTCTTGAAGAGGAAGGGAATGATACGGAAGTGGAGTTAGGGACCGGCGAGTCTAGAGAGGGGCTAAAAGGCAAAAGGTGTGCATCGACACTTGATGCACACGAGTGGGCGAACAAGCCGCGCACGCAGGTTTGGCGGGGAGTACGCGGGCGCAAGATGGACGGGTGCGCAGGTGTATGCGGGGGCGCCGTAGGCGATGCGGGCCTGGGCAGTGGCTGGGACACGCGCAAGTGTGCAGGCAGGCGCGAGATTAGCGCGGAAGGATTGGGCGTGCGCAACAATCGCGTGGGTGGCGAGGACGCGCGAGGCACGGGTGGCGGTAGCGAAGCGCGCGCAGGAGCAGAAGCGTAAAAGGCAGGCGCGGGCGTCCTAAAACGGACAGGAGTAGGTGCGATGGAAGGCGGCCGAAGGTTTTAGTTAGGAGCATTCTAGAATTGCTTGGTGTGCAAGCCAAGCATTAGTTATTTGGTAGGTTTAGGATTTTATTGCTTTCTAGTGTTAGGATTTTTATTCTTGCATGATTAAGGAGATCTAGAATAGTTAGGCTTAGATTTATTTTTGCAACTATAAATACCCCATGTACCTCATCATATTTTATGTCTTGAATTGAGTATTGAATTGGTGAGCCAATTGAGGGGAACTTTATGTTCTAACATGTGATAAACAAGGCCGTCAGTGCGTGCTTACATACAGTGTCGGAGAGAAGGCCCTGAGAGCGTCTCGAAGTCACAGTGTCTAGGAGAAGGCCCTGAGTGCGTCTGCTAGATAAACCTATCGTGGATAAACGAAGGCCCTGAGTGCGCCGTGTAATATCCCGAGATATTATCAGTATAAATTACGTTTAGATAGCGTTATTGTTTATTATTTTCGGAATTAATTAAGTTCAGTCGAGATTACCGAAATCTATTTTCGGCGTACCGTTTACGTCCGAAATAATTTTGGTAATTAAGTATTATGTTTAATTAACAATTAAACATAAAGTTAGTGATTAATTAAGGATTAATCACAATTAAAGCCCTAAGAGCCGTGAGTTGGGACAACAATTTACTCTAAGTTATAGCATATGGCATTACTTAAGGTATATTTTACCAAAATCCTCCTAAGTGCCGTAAGGTTTACTCATGTCAAAGAAATCTAATCTTCTTCACAAATTTGGCATGAAACGTGGCACTATAAGGGAGTGATTAGTCATTAAGAGAAGTCATCAAAGAGTGCCAAATGGATGGCTTATGAAGGGCCACAACGCCCCCTCGTCACTCATCCTCCTCATAACCGAAAATATAAGTAAGTGTTAGAGGAAAAATTTCCTCATCTCCTCTTAAAGAGAACTCAACGTACTTCCTCTTCATCTAGCTTATAGTTGCAGCAGTAATTAAGTTAGCAGATTCTCCCAATAATCAAACACAAACGCACGGCAATCGCACGGCATAGTCCAGCCCTATCGCACGGCGAGTTCAAGGACCAAGTAGCACGTCTATTTCCGAGTTCCGTCGAGCAATTCCAGAGGTAATCTTCTAATCCTCTGGTAGTTCAGTTGATAGGGTTAATTCAGAGTTAAGTGTTCGGATAAATTGCCGGAATTTCAGATTTAATCACGCTTAAATCCGAACATGCCTAAGTAAATTAATCACCGGAAGAATTTCAGTTTTCATCGGCAACTTTCGAGTTATAATCTTTTTAATGATCAGTTAGTTTAATTTAAGTTCAGCATGATCAATATTGTCGAGTAAAGGTGAGGAAAAGCCGATGAAAAGGCCCCAGCCGGCGCCCCCGCGCCTATCGCGCGTAGCTTCGAGTAGCCGTGGGCCGAGGCTTGTACTTCAGTATTTAACCGAGTTCTTCCGTGTGATTAAGCTTTATTTTGTTTCAGTATAGTAATCATGAGAAGCTGTTCAGTAGTTGTCGGATGATATGTAAGATCGGCCAAGGGACGGCACATAGCCGTCGGCGGCGTTCGGGCGCTTGCCGCGGCCATTGCATATGAGACATGTGTTGGCTGAACCTTCAAGTCATATTTGACAAGTTTATTCATGTTAAGTTCAATTAGATTCAGAGTTGGTCGCATTAGTCTTTTATGGCCGAGGGACAGCCGTAGGCCGTAGGCATCGCACATAGCGAGTGCGCCACGGCCGAAGGCTCGGTTCATTAAGTCAAATTCAGCCGTTTC